CTGACTCATCTTTCTCCCACAGAGCAACTGGTGAGTTCAAACTGCTGACCTTGTGGTTAGCAGCTGAATGCTTTAACCACTATGCTACCAAAACCAAAACCCAAACTCACTGCCGTTGAGTTGATTAGAATCATAGCAATCCCTCCTTGGGTTTTTGAGGCAGTATCTCAACGGAAATAGATGGTCAATCTTCCTTCTGAAGAGTGGCTGATGGTTTTGAACCTCCAGCCTTCTGGTTAGTAGTCAAATGCCTTAGGCACTAAGTCACCAGAGCTCCTACCATGCCACCAGAGCTCCTTAATTCAACCAAGGGAGGCATATTGTTAATTAATGTCACCCTTAGGCCAAACATTGTGTATTCTGAGAGGGGAATGGGGAAAACATACTGAAGCATTCACATCTTTTTTAAACTGTTAAGCGATCATTTTAATGATACCACTGGCTCAATTTCTGAAGACCTGCAATTGGTACCTTGTAAAACAGAGTGGGTGCTTAGAAGTGTTAGTTTGCTCAGGTAATTTGACTCCATTCTTAGTCAGAACTGATATTATTTGGGGATGTTTATGAACATTTATTAATACATTGAATTTTGGAAGTATGGTAAAGCTTTGTCAAAACTGAGATTTGGACCTTAAAAATTAAATGTAATGCTTTAGACTTTTTTATGTACTAAAAAATGTGTTAATTTTAGTGGCAAGTAAATGCACCTCAGGCTGGCAAGGGAAAACACAGTTGGTGCCCATCCGTGGGTCATAGTTTAAGAAGGCTAGTAAGGCCTCAGAGCCCTCAAAGACTTCACTTTCTGTCAGAGTCACTTTTTTTTTTCTTCACATTTAATACCTTTGCAATCAAGACATAAATAATAATTGACAGTGTGACATAATTTTTTGTTGGCAGCTTCTTTATTGCTTAGTGGTGCAAACAGTGATGCTGTATTCTCTGGGAAGGAAAGAGAAACAACACTTTCTGCCTCCTTATCACGTGTCATGCACTGTGATAAATAATTTATAGACATTATTTTGCTTGATTCTTACATAAACCCTATGAAAGACATTTTAAATTTAAAAATCGAGACTCAGGGGTTTATGAGACTTGTTCAAGATCAACTGGCAATTGTCAGAGTCGAGATCTGAACAAAAACCCGGCTTCACTGTAATGTGACTCCTCAAATTTTCTATCTGATTTTGTCCTCAGCTTCCTCTGTTCATAAAATAGTTTGCAAATCCCCAAATTCTGGATCTAGGAAGGCTCTTATGAGTCATTATATCCAACCACATCCTATTACAGATGAGGAAACCGAGGCTGAGAGAAGAAGAGATTGTCCAAGTGGCCACAAAGGAAGTTGTGCTGCTGCTAACCAGCATGGCCAACCCAGGGAAGAGAGGGCTTCAGTTCTTTGAATGTTTCCATCTCCTCATACAGTTTGTACCTGCAGGCCCTTCCCATCTGGTGGCTCCTTCACTCTTTCAAGGCACTGACACTTGGCTCACTCCCCCTCTGTTGTCATGTTCCCTTGGCCTTGAGTGATTGCCTACATATGTTCCTACCCCTTTCTCCTTACCCTGAGGGAACCTGTATCTAATGACTCATCTTCCAAGGTGACAAGGAATCTACATGAAGACGTCATGGAACAAAATAAAGGAGGTTCTGGTGGGTCTATGCTTGGAGGCATTGTCTGTATCTTTGTTTGCTATCTCAGAGAGGGACTTCAGTAATGGGAATTTCAATGTAGGAGGGAGGGAAGGTGGCAGAGGCACAGACTCTGGGGCAGAGGTATTCTGCTGCTGACTGGGGCTTGGAGTACACTTTGAAATCACACCACAACCTCTCAGTCTGCCTAGAGAGGCCAGTGTTACAGCATAGTGCAAGGATTGCAAAAAGAGCCGTTCATGTCACCATTCCCCTTTCTACACCCATGAACAGGTAGAAGGTCACCACACTATACACCAAGAATATTGTCAGATGCCCTCTTAAAACAATATTCTAGGCTGCAACTTCAATTGTCTAGTGTTGATTACAAGGATAAAACTGCCACCTCAGTTTTGTGGAAGGATTTGGAGGCAGCCGGTTACAGAATAAGTGAGACTCCATTTCTTCCACTATGAAAATGAGAAAATATTAATTGATTTACAGAATTGTGGCAAGTTTTAGAGGTAACACATGTAAGAGTAGAACAGAATCTATAGTGCCCAGTACACAATAGATGTTTAAATCAGTTACCATTGAGTTGATTCCAACTTGTGGACCCCATGTGTGTCAGAGTAGAACTGTGTTTCTTAGGGAATGAACTTCAGTGACGAAGTTTTGGGAAGTAGGCACCTCTGGGACCCAGGCACCTCTGTTATTGTTGCTGTTATGTGCCATCAAGTCGGACCTGACTCATAGCAACCCCTCCTTGGGTTTCTGAGGCAGTATCACTACGGAAGTAGATTGCCCCATCTTCCTTCCGAGGAGTGGCTGGTGGGTTTGAACCGCCAGCCTTCTAGTTAGCAGTCAAGCGCCTTAGGCACTATGCTACCAGAGCTCCCCCAGGCACCTCTGGGGGGGCTCGAAACTCCATTTGTTTTTGTTGACATCACAAGGTTAATGTTGATGGGTAGTAAACAAGATGTCATTACTTTGTATTATAAGGAAGTTGGAGATGATGAAAGAAAGGTGCTTTTGACCTTCCTTTGTTGTCATTGGGAGCTTTTCATAATTTAGCCTTGGAAACCCTATAGGGCAGTTCTACTCTGTCCTCTAGGGTTGCTATGAGTTGGAATCGACTGGACAGCAGTTGGTTTTAGGGGCAAGGATCATGTCTGTTTCATTTATTTTTACTGCACCCAGAAAAATGCCATGAACAACTAATTTTTAAATCTATTTGTTGTATATTGCTGTTGCAGATTGGGGGAGCTCTGGTGGTGTAATGTGTAAGGCATTTGACTGCTAACCAGAAGGCTGGCAGTTCAAACCCACCAGCCACTCCTCGGAAGGAAGGTTGGGCAATCTACTTCCGTAGTAATACCGCCTCGGAAGCCCAAGGAGGGGTTGCTGTGAGTTGGATCTGACTTGACAGCACTGAGTTTGGTTGCAGATTGGAATATAAACTATGTCCTTTATTCATAAATATACTATTAAGAACCAGAGATATAATGAAAATATGTATTTCCAACTCAATAGCATTGAATGTCCTTACATATTGGACAAATGTATACTTACACGGCTTATTTTAATTTTAAAAATATTAATATTAATTGAATTACTATTATAAAAGTCTGTCCAATGTAAGTAATGTGGAAAATGGTGAAAACTATGTGAAAGAAATGAAAAGTCACTTGTCCCATGCCATAAAATAGTTGCTTTGAACACTTTGCTATTTTTTCCTGATATGATTCATTCTAAGGTGTTACTATTATTACTTATACGATTACTAATATTTAACTAATTTAAAGATTTCCAGAATGTTCCTTTTCACTGTGATTTCCACCTCTTCAGTTCAGGATTTCATGTTCTTTCCAGTAAGAATTATTGTTTGTTGTTTTTCAATGCACTGAAACATGGAAGTTAAGTGAAAGAGTTTGCCATTAACTGCTAGTAACTTACTCCTCTTTCAAATGAAACTTGTTACCATGAAGGAAACTTTAATCCATCTTGCCCCAGTGCATTTGTTCTCCTGAAAGCCAAGTGAACTACCTCTGACTATTTCTCTAGGATTATGTCACCCACCAAGGTAACTTTCTGTTTTAGTAGGTGATGTTAAGAAACAAAACAACACCCTTTCAGTTAATCAGTTTTGGAAAATAGAGACTGGCTTTATATTCCAGAGCTTTGACGTGTTCAGTAGTTCCTGTAAGGATCTGCCTATCTTTTGTTTTGATCGGCAAGACCTTTCCTATAAATTTGGACAGTCAAGCAGCCCAGTAACAGAAGGTAGAGACATTTACCCAGAGCAAATTTCTACCATTCATTGTGACTTTCTGAAACCTTAGGTGCAAATTTCAGCTCTGAGAGAAGAGTTAACTCCAACACCATTAGGTAAGTGCTTCTCCATACTTGAAACTTCATTCCACTTGATGAGAAGCCTAGAGAGCTGCTAAGGTTGGAAGGAGCCACCAGATGAGGTTTGGAAATGAGTAACCTCACGACCCTTTTTAAATGATAATGAATTAGGGGTGTTTCATAATGCAATGTCTACTTTCAACATCTAGATGTGTCCTATCTAGAAGGCCAAGCCTAAAGGGGTGATTCTGGTCCTGAAAGAACACAGAAAATGACCAAGACCCAGAGATGATAGACTTGATTGTTGATTGGTATTGCATTTTAAACATCTTTAATGCTGCAAATCATTTGGATTTAAGTGGATTCACAGCTAGGTGCTTATCATAGCCAAACCTACAGTGGAAGGAAGTGGTAGGAGTAGGACACATCTTTCTGAATGGGAATCTAAGCCAGGTGACTAGGTTCCATAATTCTGCATATCCAAGTTTGGTGGTGGGTTTAGTTAGTAACCATATGTATAGGGCATAGAGTTATTAATATTTGTTTATTCCCCACCCATAACACTTGAAAATATAATTTTGAGCAAAGCAAATAACATGGCACCCAAATACTCTGGATCTGAATAAAAATGATTTCTGTGATTTATGTGTTATGTTAGGATGTGTGATACTTTTGGTGTTATTCATACTTTGCATTCATTTTGAAGAGACCATTGGAATAAACCTCTCTAATATCCAAGTCAAATCCAGCAGTTGGATCCCAATAAGGAATAGCCTGAGGATGCCCTTGGACGATTGGTGTCTAGAAAGCACATGGGTCTGTGAGTCCAGACAAGTCAGTTATAAGGAAACCATGGGCAACTATGTTGGAATTTGTGGCTAGTTACAATTTCTTGGGTCATTTACGAGCAAGGGCCCTTTGACAGCTAGCACATTGACACGTTGACACATTGCTGGCTGTCCCATTGGTGCCCCTGGTTCTGCAAATTAACTCTCCTTCTCTCTTTCTGGAGGAACAGCATGAAGCCTGCATACCTTTTTCTTGGCTCCATGGCCCTTCTGCTGCTGGCTGGCTGCAGCTGTGTCCTCAGCACCTCCAGCTACAACCTGAGCACCTTTGTGGGTTGTACTGTGAGGGAGTTCACTTTTGTGGCCAGGAAGTCAGGTTGCAGAGGCCTTCGGATCACCACGGATGCCTGCTGGGGCCGCTGCGAGACTTGGGAGGTGAGCAGCTACAACCTGCCTAGGGAGGTTGCCTTCAGGGGCAGCCACTTGGGTTTGATTCTTTAGTGTTTGTGTTTTCTATGATATAAGGTACATCTGAGAATCTGCTTTTCCTGTAGATTTTTCTTTCATAATAATAGTAATTATTATTATTATTTGGTATTCTCCAAAAGAATCTGAGAGAAACATGATTATGTCCGTCTAACAAAACATTGATAAGATTAATACTTTGATTTACATGGAGTTTGTATATTTGGGAATCATCTCTGAAAGGCAAGATATGCTATTATTTTACCCATTTCACAGATGACGTGGAGGAATTCAAGGTGTGAATGACTATAAAGTCACCTAGAGGGTCACTGGACCCTTGGGAACAAATTCTTGGTTTCAGCCTGTGACCAAAAGTCCTCCCTATATTTCCCATATGTTCAGTAAAGCCAGCTACTTACCAAGCTGGGAGCTGATTGGTTGAGGAGTCCCCAGCCTCTCCTTCAATGCCTTTCCCACAACTCTGGCCCCTTCAGGGCCCTCAGGGATTATTATTGATGGAGTCATTAAGTCCCTTTATATTCAGATATAAAAGGCCTTTTTAGAGGTGTTTGCATTTATGGTGGGGACAAAAATTTCAAGCAAATTTAGAACTCTCTTGGTCTGAGAGGAGGAATTTGGAAGAGGAAGGAAGAGGACCATTCAGCACTCCATCATATCACATCACACAATAACTGCCCACTTTCCTCTCTGAAGCCTGTGTTCATTACTGAAGACACTCCAGTTCTCCCTTGTCACTCTCTAGCTCAAACACCTTTAATGATCACCCACTACTGCCAAAATCAAGAACCAGCTTTCAAGGTCCTTGGCAATATGGCATCTACTTTTTTCCCAGCAAGTACACATAGCTCTGGCACGGTCAGACTGATTTTTAAAAGGTGTTATGGAATATTCCTCCTGGAATCTCATTTTTTTTTTCATCTTTTCCTAACATTCTTTCTCGTTTCCAACCATCATGGTCATAGTTATTTCCAGATGACCGTCTCCAGTGTCAACTTCTTCACTAAGCATTTTCTGACTTCTGGTAGGGCCTTGACGATATTCTCCCTTTTTTCTTACTTCCTCCCCCAGCACTAGATTGATTTTAAGTGCTTTGAGTGCAGAGACTGTGAGTCATCCTTGTGTTTTTTGATCAAAGTGGAATGCCAAGCAAGTCGTTCAGTAAATATTCATTGCATTAAATGGAATGGCCCTTTACCTGGAGTTGTATAACTTCTAGCCTAATTGAAGCTGCCTGAGAAGCACGTGAGCCCAATGAAAGGATGCCACCATTAAGAAAAGTATTGCTCCATTTAGGAACTCAGAGTCCATGGTGGTGCAATGGTTAACAGGCTTGACTGCTGACTGAAATGTTGCAGACTTAAGTCTACCGAGAGGTACTGCAGAAGAAAGGCTTGGTGACCTACTTCTGTACCATAAGCCACTGAAGACCCTGCGTGGCACAGTTCTGCTCTAACATGCATGGGTCACCATGAGTTGGAATTGTTTCTACAGCAACTGGTTTTTTGTTTTGTTTTGTATTCAGGGACTCAGAGAACAACCTTCTATTACTCAGATAAAATTATGGCCCCATGAATAGAATTGGGTTATCATGATGAAACTTCCAAATTAAATGAAACTGCTCGACCAAATTAGCTCTACTTTATGCATCATTCAGTGGCTTGAGAGCAGAGAGCCAAATGACAGTTCAGTTGCTAAGGATCCTGTGACTATCACTTGATATTAATCTTACACGGGGAACTTTGGTGCCTTCTCATGTGTTTAAGGTTTGGCCTGGCAGTTCCTCTCCTCACTTGCGCCTCACAGTTTGGAGCTCCCGTGGGCCAAAATCTCACACCACTGTTTTTCTTTAAATCAGCCATCTTCTCTTTGTATGAATCGATGAACATCTTTTATTGGATCACGATTACCACAAGAGGTCTGTGCTCTTACTGGAAAAGTAGAAGTACTAGACATTAAAAAACAAGATTGTCCTTATTTTCAGCCAATTTTTATTTATATCTTTACTGTGTTATGAAAAAGAGGGGTTATTTATTGGGGGGTGGGGTGGGAGAAGAATGAGGTTTATTTTCCAAGCAATCTGAAACTTTCTAAGATATAAAGCACTTTTTTTTTGGTAGCCCAACTGGGGTGCATGTCTGAAAATAAGAATGTTCATGAAGGCAAAGTGGCTGCATTTACTTTTGAAGGTGAAACTGTTGGAAAAAAAAAAATTTTTGCTCATGACAAATGTTTAGGGCTGCCAGATTTAGCAAACAAAACAAAACAAAAAACAAACAGGATGCCAGTTAAATTTGAATGTCAGGTAAATTACAAATAAGTTTTTAGTATAAGTTTGTCTCATGCAATATTTGAAACAGACTTATAGTTAAAAAAAAAGTTGTTTATCTGAAATTCAAATTTAATTGGGTGTCCTATATTTCATCTGACAACCCAGTCTAGGGTCTGAGAATATAAAGGGTGTGAGGATGTGCGACAAACCAAGGAAGGTTAAAATGCTGATTTAAAAGTTCGCAGAAAATAGCTGAGGACAAATTCAGCCTTTCTACATACATGTCCTTGTCAAAGGCTGGGCTGCTATTTTCATGACATTCGTGAAAGAACTTCATCCTAGGGCTACATTAAAGAGATTTATATTTTTTTTCCCCAGAACAAGTGAAGGTGCTGCCCTTTGAAAGCTTTTTAATTGTTATTTTTATTATTTTTCCCTCATTGTTACAATAAGTGCTGATATAATAATAGTAATCGATTACATTTATTGACCATTTACCTTCTGCTAGGTGTTAAGTGCTTTAGAAATGTCGCCTTATGTTATTCTCCACAACAATGCTATGAGGTAGCTATTTCATTTCCCAGATGAAGAAACTGAGGTTTCAAGCAGTTAATTGAGTTTTCCAAGATCCAGCAAGTGACAAAACAGAGATTAGTGCTCAATCTATCTGACTGTAGGGCTCGAGATGTTAGCGACCCTCTTACGCTGTTCTGATCTATGTATATGTTCTGTTTGTCAAAGGTATCTTTGAATTTAGGATTCATAAGGGCAAAGGAAGGAAACAAACCCTTCAATTAGCAAAACAGCTCACAAGGCATTCAGGAAGCTGCCTTACTTTGTTTTTATTTCATTTACTCAACAAATACTATTGAGACTCTCCTGTGTACCTGATATTGTTTTAGATACTAGAGACACAGCAATGAGCAAAATGGACAAAAATCCCTGTCCTAATGGAATTTCTTTACTAGAGAGGGGAGAAATATAACTCAAAAGAGTGGATACTATGTCAGGTGGTATTGATAAGTGCCTCTGCTGGGAGGTTCGGGAAATGGTATCTGTGCCTTTGGGGCTGGAGCAGAGTGGGTACATCAGTAAGGTGGGGGTGGTCAGAGACATAACAGAAGATAATGGTGCCAGGAAGACCATCCAGGGTTTGGAGGGTGATTGTAAGGCCTTTGATTTTTACCCTGAGTGAGATGGGCTTTGAATAGAAGAGTGACCGGATGTGATTTATGTTTTAAAAGCAACACCAGGGCCCTTTCACGTTACAAATGGACTGTAGGAGGCAAGGGTGGCAGTGGGGAAACCAGTTAGGAAACTTATGCAATGATCAAAATTATACATTGGCTAAGTATTTATTGAGCGCTTGCTGTGTGCCATGGACTCCTCTGGGAGCTCAGGATAGGAAGGTGAATGAAATCAGGTTTCTGCTTTCAGGAGTTCACTTTCTACTGGAAGGAAACAGGTCAACAAATAAACAGAGAACTAAGTTAATTTCTGATAGTGACAAGTAGTACTAAGGAAATGACACAGGGTGCATTGTTCTAATGGGTTTCCTGTTTTCTACCTGTGGGGACAGAGGCCCATGCTGAGGCCCCCATACATTGCAGCCCATCATCGAGTCTGCACCTACAACGAGACCAAGCAGGTGACCGTCCAGCTGCCCAACTGCACTGCTGGAGTGGATCCCTCCTACACCTACCCCGTGGCTGTCCGCTGTAACTGCATGGGCTGCTCCACTGCTACCACCGAGTGTGAGACCATCTGAAGCCGGCATGGTCTGCAGAGCGCAGCTGGGGGCTCGAGCCTCACAGACCCACCGCACAGGCAGCACAAGCAGCTAGACCCCTTGAATTCCAGGACTGTTTAATTTTGACCTCACCTGTGGAGGAGGTGACCTGTCTCCCCTAGATGCAGCTCTGGCACAAAGCCAGATGCAGCCTACTTACGCAAAAGCTGTAAAACAGTATTTGTGTCATCAGCCAAATAGTTGATTTGACTCATGTATCTTCAGATTCATTTTCATTTGCCTTGAGTCTTGGAACATAATTTGTGTATCAGTCTTCCCCGTAACGTACCAATGATTCAAATACATTGGGTGTAATTGATAACTGGGCTTAGAAAGTCTTTACATTCTCACATCCTATTTACCTACCAGCCTCCAACTGCACTCCATGATCCAAGGGCCAGGGAGTAACAAAACCAATGCTCTAGTCCTCTTGCTCCCAAGAAAATCCAACTGCAACTTTCCTTAGAGAAAATATCCCTTTCCATTTTAACTGAACAATGATCTGTACAAGACATAGAGACTGCTCAGATTAACAAAGGGAGGCGAACAGTTGCTCAAATTAAGAGGTGTCTGGATTTGTGGGATTCTTTTCCCAAGCAAAATTCCTAAATTCCCTTTAAGATCCTTAATAAAGAGACGCCTTTGTGATTTTGGGGGAAATACACACACACACACACACACATGCACACGCACGCACGCACACACTCTGCAGCTATCCTTTAGCTTAAAAACTCATGGAGCTAAACCCATGTTTTTAGAGTCTGATGTCTCCCAAAGTTATCTCCAAAATGTTCAGTCAGAACTCTTCATCCCCACTTAGCACATTTTAAATTTAAATAGAAATCTATTGAACTCAAGCATTCACATTTTTGTCTGGGTAAAACTGCAGTGCTGGCCTGGAGGAGAAGGTCGGTGATCGTCCAGCGCTTGCCCTCTCAAATCTTACAGCGGCTGATTCTCTGCGGCTTTTTTTGTTTTGTTTTTCAAAAAATCTCTAATGTCATGCAAATGTCTTTAACTAATTGTGGCATTTTAGGGGGTTGAATTTAACCTTGTTTCTTTTTCATAATATGCCAGGAAAATCTATATTAATGTCAATAAAGCATGCTTGTCCTCTGCCTTTTGAATTCATAAAACTTAAAAAATCTCTTTTTAGTCATTAATACACTTGAACTAACAGTAAGGAACATACTTCAGATGAACTGCAAGGTTATTTTTCGTTCAGCGTTAGTTCAGGATGTCATGTTTAATAAGAGGAGACACAGATGATTCTGCAGCACGAGTCCCACAGGTGGCTTGACTTGCACACATACCGGTGGCATAGCTAGGAGCCAGGAGTTCTTTTTGAATGAGAAATCAATGTGATTCCATGCAAAACAGCAAAGTAAAGTTGCTATTGTTGGTCAAGACTTGGGAGGCTGGGGTGAATATCTGAGATCAAAGGGCATTAGCAAATGTCACTCCCAACCTTCAGTGCAAATCTATTGGTGGGCAAGGAAGTCTTCTTAAATAAAAGGGAGCTGAGTGCCGAGGATCTTTGGTGGGACAGTAGGTGACACTTAGGGGTGATATGGGTAGCACCACTCAAGTGGTTTCCAATCGATCCCTAAGAACTTTTCCCAGTGTTTTCTGAGATAAAGTGTTACTTCTTAAGAGAACTAAGAGAGAAAAAGCAGAAACAGTAAGGACTTGGCAGAAACTGAGGAAAGAGGAGCACAGCTTCAGTAAGGGTCCTAACAGATAACAAATGTTACACTTCAGTAGAATATTGAGGAGAGTTTAATGAGGAGAATACAAACGGGTGGGCAGGATTAAGTAAACTAGTGAGAGGTGGTGAAACATCTCCAGTTTAGAAGCAATGGCAGTCAGATGAGTCCAAGCTGAAAGAGCAGGAGGATGGTGTGATTATCAGACTCCAAAGAGAACCATAGGAAAACGATGGGTGGCAAGAGCTGTGGTCTTTGGTAGGAGGATGCCGCCATTACCAACTTGAAACCCAGTAGGGAAGGAGGTAAGAAACAAAGATTCAGCTCTGCTCCCCATTCCTTGATTCGCTGCTTCCTCCCATTGGCTGAATCATATGGGGAGGCAGAGAGTGAGGGCGCTCATTGATTCAATCATACAGGTGGGTCTCCTGAGCAATAGGTTGAGAGAGTAGAGAGTGGATCTAAGGGCGTAAATGGATAAAATCCACAGCATACCTGTCTATTGGGAACTTAGCTAGAAGGTACTAGGCAGCAATATTGGCCTGAGGACGATAAGGCATGCTGGAGCCTTGCAATTACTTAAAGACTCACCTGTGGTAAACTGGGCTGCAATACTTATGGGGAAGTATAAGGACTGTGGGGTGGGGTTATCCCGTAGTTAAGTGCAATCAAAGCATACAGGACATACTATGAAAGCCAGAAGGTAGAGTTTGAGGAGACTTTTTTTTCTCCTGCCGCTAGAGGGCAGACTGTGCTGAAAATCAGGCCCAAGACATTAGAGAGCAGATGATTATTAAAAAGACTGAAGTCATAATCCTGGCAAGTCTGCTGCACTTAAGTCAAGGTCCTATTAGGGGAGGTGTGGGGCACAGAGACCTGGAATGGACAATTAGGCAGATGCAGAAAGGGTCCACTCCTCCCAGCCAGAGAAGGCTAGATTCTCCTTGCTTAGACAGTAGGCAGAGGGCCCATCTGAGGAGCGTGCTTTCCATAAAAACACTTGCTCTAAACCCCGGTTTGGTTCTGGATAGGTAATTAGGGATGACCTGGCTGGGAAAGGACTCTCCCTGCTGTGGGAGGAAACATTTTTCCTTGAAGGAGCCTCAGGTCTTGAGTAAAACAAGCCTGTAAATATCCATAGAATATGCTTGGGAATAGATCTTGAGGGTGTTGGACAGGGAGGGATAAGATGGGGAGAGTGACAGAATATAAGAATACACAAGAAGAGTTTATTAACATGGAGACATTCCCCACACCTTGAGATTTAATATCCTCATAAGGACACCTGCATGTGGTCCTAATGTGCTGTTGGGATAACTCTCTGAAGTTTAGGAAACATGATGGCCTATGTTAAGGAGGAGGAGATGCTCGACTGGTCCTGGCAGAGTGCTGAGAAGCAAAAGGCTCAGACAGGTGAGCCTGCTACATAGATTTGGTTCACAGACCAGAGAACTCACCGGTTGTCCTCACTGGGATGGCACAGTTGACACTTCCTTCACTAAAGCAAGGAATCACTAGTGAGGGGAACCTCATCGCAGATAAGCTCCCTAATGGCTGTCCTTTGTAAGCTGGGGTTGATGGCAGGGGAAGTGGCCATGGACCAGGGCTCCCTAGAGTTAGTGGAGGGAATGGGGTTCTGGAATAGGTGGTGACACATAGCCGTAAGAGGCAAAACCAAACCAAACTCACTGACTCATAGCAATCCCCATTTGGGTTTCTGAGACCGTAAATCTTTATAGAAGTAGATTACCCATCTTCCTTCCATGGAGTGGCTGGTGGGTTTGAACCACCAACCTTCTGGTTAGCAATCAAATTCCTTATCCATTATGCCACCAAAGCTCCTTATAAGAGGCAAGATGGACATAATTCTGTGTCAGACAGCAAAACCACAGTGGCAGTGAGGGATCTATGGAGCTGACTAATAATCTATGGTGTCTTAGTCCTTGGTCGTCCAAAATTTTCCACACTAAATATATATTTATAATCAGAAAAACTTTTAATAGAAAAGAGGGAACTATTCTCTTCATACCAGTGTTAAACTTGCATTTTTCAAATCCTCATTTTCCCTCTCTCCCTTCCACAAATACTTATTCATGTTTTGTGGAAAACACAGTGTTTGGGGAATAAAGACATCAATATTGTTACCTTTTGGGGAGATTTTACTAAAAGTTTCACCATTTACATGAATTGTTCTTAATTCTTGTGGCAACCATGCTAATCGGCATTTGTGTTAGACTGAGTTCTCTAGAGAAACAAAATCAGTAAAGCTTATATATATAGAGAAAGAGAAATTTGTCTTAGGAAAATGGCTCACACACTTATAGAAGCTGGCAAGTCCAAAGTTCTTGGATCAAATGTCAAGCTGGAGGCTTTTCCCGACTGTCGCAGCTGCAGGGGCTGATGAGCTCAAGGTTGGCAGGCAGTGTTGACTCCAACGAATGACGAATCCAAATCTCCAGGCTGAATGCTGGATTGTTCACTCACGGACAGTTGTAGGCAGCACAACAGAATCCCAATCCACAGAAGAGTGTCTCTTTTCCCAGGGTGTCCATAAATATACTGGAAGCAGACCACACCCCTGGGGAAACTCCCTTTCAAGGGATTGGCTGCTCAAAACACATTCATCTGATCCCATCATGGGAATAACCGTATCACAACTGCTTAAACCACACAAAATTGTGGTCCAGCCAAGTTGACACACAGCTCCAACTATCACAGCATTGTTATTCCATTTTACGGATGATAGCATTGATGCTGTAGAGGTCAATTAACTTACCCAAAGCCACACAGCTAGTAAGCAATGTGCCAGGTCTCTGACCCAGAACCAAACACTTTCTACTATAGCAAACCCCCCAAAAAACCAAACCCACTGCTGTCAAGTTGATTCCAACTCATGGTGATGTAGGACAGAATAGAACTGTCCTGTAGGGTTTCCAAGGAGCTCTGGTAGCATAGTGCCTAAGGCATCTGACTACTAACATGAAGGTTGGTGGTTCAAACCTACCAGCCACTCTGCAGAAGCAAGACTGGGCAATCTACTTCCGTAAAGGCTTACTGCCTCAGAAACCCAATGGGTTGGAATTGACTAGATGGCAGTGGTTTGGTTCATTGGTATAGGGTTTCCAAGCCTGCAAATCTTTATAGAAGCAGACTGTCACTTCTTTGTCCCATGGAGTAGTGAGTGGGTCTGGACCACTGACCTTTCAGTTAGCAGCCCAGTGCTTTAACCACTGCACCATCAGGGCTTCTCTGTTAGAGCATGATGCCTTTTCA